TTGGTGCACAAGACTCTAAGAATTAATGAAATCTGCAATGAACTTTTAAACAGTGGTCTTCCAAGAGGTCCTATAAAAAATGAAAACGAAAAAAGCGTATTACTGGAACAGAATAAAAATTTATGAACACAAATGTATTTGTAGAAATTTGCAAACTCCTATATGTTTAAGCTTAAGTGTGTCTTCTCCTGAGGTAATGGACGCAATAAAAGAGAATGAAGAGGTCACTAGCAGGGAAGCTGGGTAGCAATGTATATGTAATATATTTAACATTTACATCTAGAAAAGCGAAGTGGACGAGGACTAACCAAAAAGAAAACAATAAGACTGGCAGCTTTCAGCGGACAATGAGACGTCTCTTCCAGCATTTTCACTTCATTTTATACAGAAATGAGAGAGTGAATAGCACGATTGATGATGAGAAAAAGTTAGCAGCGCCTTGTCGGGCCAAGCGAAGATGCACAGTGGATGTCAGAAAAATTACTGCACATCTCGGATGAAATACTACGGTTTGAGCCCAGTAGACAGGATTTTATCAAAATACTGAACATTAGAAAGAGCTGCGGCAGCTGTGTGGTAAGAATAACAAACAAGAGATGGATTGCGGGTTACTGATTAGTGCTGACGCAGTTTTAAAAAACATACATGGGGAAAGGGTCACTAATAAAATACGTAGAAAGATGCGCTTGATCACATTTACGGGAGTATGATGGGCAAACAAGCAAATCAGAGAATGAAGATGATGACTATGTCAAAGGTTTAAAAAAAAAACGCGATGATGAAGCAACAGCTGATCGAAGTATAAAATTTGGGAGAAAAAGAAAAAACGCCGGAAAACGAATGCCACGATAAACAGTTATATTTTCTTGTCGCTAATCAAACACATAAAATATGCCTTTTGATGTCACTGTTTAAGTTTTATTATTTCCGTTTTCACGACGTTGGTATTACTGTGAACAGCACAGTCTCTTTATTCGAATATTTTTTTAGAAAATGAGACACTTTTCAGCCACCTGGTCTCCGATATTTAACTGGTTACATCTCGAAGCAGCACCATTCGGCTGAA